GATTGTCAATGTCAATTTAATGATGTCAAAATAAATGTTTCCAATTTTACATTCTAGAACTGCCGTCAAGCGTTGCTACAGAAAGCGGGCTCTCAAAATAAGCCTACGCCCAATTTCAAAGTGTGGTCATGAGACCGAATTGTAAAACCGTATCACGGCAACTGCGCTTTTAGCGAATCGATACTTAAGATCATTATCATGAACTGAAAAAGCACTAGATGGGTAGATTTCAAATCACGGCAATCTGAACGAGAACAAAAGAAAAAAAACTGATAATGCGTTATGCTTATTTGAGAAGACTGTTTAAGTAGCTCCGACGGTAGTTTACATAAATGCACAAACTGTTTACATTAATGTAACAATATGATGACAACTTACACCCTGTCGTAGTGTCGAATACGCAGCCTGTTCAAAATTTCTTCGTGTTCCAGTGAAGATAAAGGTTGAAGCCAGCCACAAAGTAGCCCTGAGACTTTTAGAAAAAAAGTACAGGTAGATGAATGTGAAACGCTAGCAATCTCTAGCAAGTCCCGTTAGTGTGCAATCAGCGGATTATTTCTTAGGGCTACGTCAGTTAATTATAGGAAAGAAAGCCTCCATTCTCACTGCCGATGTTTGCAATACATCATTTGCGTAGTACATCTGACATAAAAAAAAATCATATATGACCAAAATTACTAAAAGTAGCGTAACAGTAATATATATATATATAGTCACATCGATTTCGGACAATACCAAGTATATGGCAGTAGCAGTGACGATTTTCACCAACAGTGACGTTATATTTGGTGAACAGTTCGACTCATACATGAATAGCTCGACCGTACGCGCACTGCTGATCGGCCTTATCTCAATCCAGCTTTAGTAGTGAACCTCTTGCTGTACAGCACTGACGTTTCTGTTGGCACTGCTTGAGAATATATGCAGCCGAATCTCGCTGAGGGTGATCGTCCTTTACTTAGAATCAGAGCTGGATAAAACTGTGGTCTGCAAATTAAAAAGGTAACCTGGAGACCTGCACTTGATGGATTTATTATATCGACTTTATGGGGCCACCGCAGTAATCTGTTTCAAGCATGCTTGAATCTGCTAGCCTCCTAGGTAAGCCTCTCTACCATCTATGACCTCTCGCGCAGTCTCACATTAAAAGGTGAAGATATTCAATTCATCAACCTATTCGATCTCCAGCTTGCATCCCGTGAGCATAAGTTTAACTAGCTAGGAAATGAACTTGTCGAACATAATAGCCCATTTGAGTGAAGTCAGGAAGACGTCAGTCTGTCTTTTTGAGGGCGATTGCCTCACGATACTTGATCTGGGACCGTATTTGCTTCGAATTGGTCTGATTTTTCAACGACATCGGTAGCTACGGACGTACCACGAGAAAGTAATGCTGAAAACTGTAACTACGGTTTTTTATCCTGCTCTGGTTCTCTCTGGCCCTAAGTTGCTTGTCCAACAGGTTCGGCTTCAAACGCTTCAGTGAAACAGGCCTTCCATGGGTAGGTCGAAGAGCTCACTGCTTACTTGTTTAACGAGAATACGGATGAACTCAACGATCATACTTATCAAATACAGTCCTTGGCACGCCTCCGAGCTGGTGTATGCTATATTTTCCTATGAACAACAGTGTCCAAGGTTGCTTTATGTCGACGGAAAAGTCTCTATGCTCCGCCTAAAATTGTCCTTCTCGCCACAAAATTCGGCTGCTTTCCTGTTAAGTGCTATCAAGGTTTACAATACAGACTTGACCGTTGCCTAGAACTGGTTCGTAGATGGATAACCGTCACAATCGTATCAATGCACAAATCCGTGTAATCACAATATCTTCAGCACTACGTAGACGCGCGTTTGTGTTACACGCGGGCGATAAGTTATCACGACTTCGCTACATCAATGTGTCACGTGTTGCGAATCTCATAGACCCGTACCGTATCTGGTGCGGAAACTTGTTACGAGAAAGATTGACCCTCGGTTACACCATTCGCAAGGGCTAGTCTAGATTTTTACATGCCTAGCTTATGTCCAGATCATAACCGATAAGAGTCGTTTTCTCCCTAAGGCCGCCGGCGACAATAAGTTGGCATTGGCAAGCTTTCCGTTCAATGTCGCGATAATTGGACCTTTTTTGCCCTCGTAGCGCTTGATGTAATCATTCAGTGGTTCAGTGAGTGGTGAAGTGATTCATTCAACGACTCGTGAGCAAAACAAAGATGGCGCGGGCAAAAACCGTGGCTCGCAATTTTAGTCAGCTTTGAAGAGCCACGAGGAATCGTGTGCGTGTGAATTTGCTGCTATCAGTGAGCGACCACTGTAATATGAAGAGAGTAAAATACGCAATTTTTTGCGCAAACCCCAGCCGACTTTTCGCGTGGTGTTCCACTGGTATCGTTTTTTCGTTCCTCCGCCTTTCTGGACAAACTGTGTCTAAATGGAGATATTCAAGCAACCGTTTTGTTGTACGGAAAAACACGCTATTATATATATAAACAAGGCGTTATCGGCTCGTTGGTGTATAGAGTATATTCTACATTCTGTTAATCTGGACAAGAAACAGTCTTGACCGATCTCTGTTGGACACGTCTGTCTGCTTATTATAACGTGTCCCTGTTTGGTTTGTATCATTGGGTGGGACCAAACGGCTTAAAGTTATTGTGTCCGATCTCTTATTAGTTACACCTTCCGGAGTCCTACCTAGTTGTTGTATCCGCTGAAAGTGTGTCGAGAGTAACTATTGAAAGATGAATGATAATATTTGCGCTAGCGAAAAATTCCTATAAAGAGTTGAAGGAATCCTACAAAGAACTCCTGCAAAAAAGAACGTACAATTCTTTTTTTTTTTGTAGGAGTTTATTCGTACCTGTAATAATTTTAATAATGGTTTCTTATTGGACGCATATACACGTGAAATCCTAATTTATTTTGGAGTTTGTCGACAATTCTTGGAAGACTACTGACATTATTGCCCGCGTACATTATGATGGCCACTTCCCCTGATGTGCTGATGCATGCACCGCAGGCGTAAGTGGAGAATCTTTCCTGATGTTGAGGTTGTTTGTAGTTCTCAATTTAGTGAAAAGGAAATTAATATTATGTGAATGATCGCTGTATCGATAGACTTGGATGAACCGATATAGATGCTAGGCTTGGCGTACGACCGTTTTCGATTAACGTTATCCAGCTGTGTTGTTTCTATAGCTACCTTGCTGCGTAAACACGCAGACAATCGAAAAATATACCATTCAATTTGATAAGCAGGCTCGAATTCGACGTACTAGAATTTCTACAAAACCAGGTGGTAGTAGGAAAATTTCACGTAAGGCACTGAAAGTTTTAGTCTTTAATAAAATTTCGATTAGTGCTCTAGTAAAAAGAAAACCTAAACGTGGTGCTTTATTGGATTAATTATAAAATTAATGTAATGACTGATGATTTTTGAGAAACTCGCGCGCACCACGTCAGTAAATCCAGTTTAAATCTTTTCCCGCTCACAAACCTTTGCGTATTGACGCAGAATACAAAATGGAAAAGATAGACCAGTTGCTGCCGTATCAAGTGCAAAAACAGATCGTTGGTCCTGGCGGTCTTAGAGGACCCCTGCGAACGGGCCAGACATTGGACCGCATGACAACGCTTGGTGGAGAAGTACTAGTACTGTACTAAATGACGTAAGTCATAGTAGCAAAAAGATGTGGACGGTAGGAACTATCTTTAGAAGGTATCACCCTCAAATTAACATACGAGTAGCCTGTCTTCCCTAGAATGTATGGTCTACTCCAGCGACTTCTCCCGGTGAGACATCCATCCATGCACCTATATGCTGGATATTGTAGATCCGTATTGCCATGGCTTGATCAAACTTAGGTTTCAATGGGAAAATGATGTACCTATCTCACAACAAACGTCTTTTTTTAGTTCGCCTAATCTAAGCCTAACTCGTGTAACGAATACCGCCAAAAAATGGTCGGTTAACTAATCAAAAGCTAACATCCTATATGGAACATGTTAGCTTTTTGTAAGATTTCCTATCAACGCAAATAACATGACGAAAATTTAATTTGGTAGCCTGAATGCAATATACAATAGCATATTTAGTATGGTTTTCTGTTTATAGTACGGACCCTTTTTTAAAGGGGGGCATCTTGTATAAGCTTTGTCGATCATCTAGCTATCTTTTTTAATAATTTTAATGATTCTACCTATAATTTTTTAATACGAACGCATTGAGGCAAGCAGTACGCACCCTCAGCACACTGCATGAAGTATACAAAGAATATTAAAATAATTACTAACTAATAATTATTAATATAGAACATTAAAATAATGCAGAAAAGGAGACCAGAAAATAATAGTAAATCTAATGTAACAGAGAGAAATTTGTTTATTGAAAAATCACGTGTTCTTAAAGTTTAAGCACCAGATTGTTTGATTAAAGGGTGGCCTTTCTACAGGTTACAAAAGTTATTGGAATGTTAGTATTTTTTAATTTTCGTATCCTTGTCTCAACTATCTCAAATATCAAACATTTTTTTCTGCCTTTCTTGTACCTCCTCTTTCCTATTAATTTTCTTGTTTATCTAGAGGGTGCTAAAATTTCTCTAGTCGTGATCCGTCGAAGACTGTATAGTATCGTATTTTACCAACTCATAATACCTTTTTTCTTTAGATATGTTTTCCCCTTACATTTTCATAAATATTATTACCTTCTAAGGTTCTTATTTGCGCCTTTATGATCTTCTGACTCTGTTATAATAACTTTTTTGAAGCACAAACCCACTTAATTTTATATATTTAAAGCCAAGCTAGTTTTAATGAGTTTTGATGTTCTTAGAAGGTAGGACAACTCGTCAAGGTGTCGTAGGCTTACTACTGGCTCAAAAATACTGAAACCCAATGGGTTACTTTAGTAACCTTAATAGGTATTGCATGCCGTATTAGATGTTCTACATGTACTTATATCTATATATATATATATTTACGTATTTATAATAGGTACCCACCTTGCAGGGATGAGGCGATGCATCCAAGCAGTAACGGCGGCAGCAAACGAACTAGGCACCCGCATCGGGATGCCGTCCATCTTGCGATCGTTGTGTCAACTTTCATGTTTATTTCGTATCAATATATATATATATATATATATTGTATAGAGCCCAACATACAATCCTGTCGGACGGATGAGCTTAATGGCTTGAGCGTGCTAGAAATGGATTGAGCGAAATATCCTATGTCGAACTCAGTTGATCAACTGAAAATTTATTTCTGAAGCATTCTGGTGCCAGTGGGGTATTACAGCTGCGCTGTATCTTTGAAGAATAAACTGTTATAGTTAATTTATATATAGTTATTCTGAGCACAGTTGACATAAATTAAAAGGGGTTATCAAGAGGTCGCAGTGGCAAGAACGGAAGAACTATCCTATATAGCTACAAAATAATGTAATTCTTGCAGAGCTGGAAATAAATTACTCTTACGATACATATGATGGTAATTAAAAATGTAGCCAGTGAAAGTAATAACTCAGAGCGATGTGGGACGGACACAAGGGCAAATTATAAAATAGTGTTTTTCGAAAATAGCAGCAAACACAGTTACTGATGTGATAAACTGTATACCCATAAAATGCTTGTGGACGACGCATCGATATCACCCACCAGATGCGACTACGTTATGTTGTCCTTAACGAACAAAGCCGCACCGCCATGATAGCGGCCACGCATTTAACCTATCACTATTCCCTCATTAGATTTATTAAGCTGTAACAACGCTGCAAGCAAGTCCAGCCCCAAAGCCACGGGTCTTGTCGCATTCGATTTTCCGGTCACTAACTGCTTAGCCACTGTTACTGCTTCCTGTTTTGAATAACGTGCCTAGTTTGCTTCCTGCCGTTGCTTTAAACAATGACAACAAAGTGTCTGTCAGTGGTTTTGCTGTTGACCTTCGTTGTCCTCCTGCACTCGGCTGCCTCAACTGAATCCCATCAATTAATATGCATACGGGCGACGATGGTATCCTCCTGAAGTGCAAAGAAACAAATCGACTAGTAATCTGCAGACTCTAATTCGGTTTTCTCTACGTACCTTGGTTCCCTAACGTTTATGCGCATTCTAGCCAAGTAGAATCTGAATATGAAGTTCGTTGCAACAGCAATAATATGGTCATTGTGAGCTAGGACGACTCAGCAGCTTGCAAGGGGTCGAAGTATATGCTCGGTATGCCCTGATCGGTAACGGCAAGCGCTTGTGTGTTAACGAGTTCTGTATAAAGTACGGGAGAAGATGAGCCTAGTTTTGACATCGCTAGCTATTCAATTAGGTTATAAGCCGGGCAGACGTTTAAAGTGCGGCAGTCCATGATGTACATCGTAATAGTATATTGTTTAAAAAACATGTGACCTTTATCACGAGTAAATGTAAGTACTAATGTCCATAAAGTCCATAATCCCATAAATCCATTTGATATTGTCAAGTAGTTAGCTCATCAGCTCTTTTCATAGTTATGTTTGACAAGGGTAGATATTATCGCGAACCGTATTCATTCTATAGCCAAAATCGGCTCCAAGCGCGACAGGCAGTACGGTTGTCTATGGTGGAGGTATCAGTAATGAAATGTTTAGGCCATTTTAAATAAACGCTCGGATGTTTCTTTTCTCGAAGAGCAAACAACACAAGCTATCCTTAATACTCAAGCTACCATAATCCGATCGAATATTTACACCTTTATATATATATATATATATATATATATATATATCTTGGAGTAATTCTGTTACTCTAGTACGGTAATTCAACTCTGGTACAATCATCCTACGACATGTGTTCTAATAGTCGGAAACATCCAATATATCCTTCGAAGCCTTCACAGTGACCGTATTGTACAATTCCGTAAACCTACTGCAATTTTATTCCAGTTGAATGAATCTTTACGCTGCAATTAATTGCATATGTATTGAGAAAATAACTGACCTCTAGTTCAAAATAACTAGTAATAATAAGTGGTCCTATTAGCTTTATTAAGTTACAGTAAATGCAACCAAAATAATAAATAGAACTCGTAAATCGAAAATTAATTTTCGACCTTTCAGGCTTACCTCACATGGAATATTTTACTTTGTTGATGCTATTCCAACTCTTTCGTTCGAACGCTTTTGTGATCCAGATACTATACAAGATTTGGTCCGCATTTGAAGTAAATTTCCACATCCACATACATTTGGCCACTCGGTTAAAAAAATCGCGCCTCATTGTCAAAGATCACGCCTGCTTAGAAGAGCTTGTAAAATCGGGCAACTTCTTGACGGCTGGTGAACAAATCGCCCGAAAAAACTTATCGCTCAAATAAGCACTATACTTTATAAGAAAACAAGTGCTCTTTTAAAAAAGAATATTTAGGTAATTGCTCAAATCTTTTGCACAGCTCCCCACAGGGAGACCATCTCACAAGAAAGTGATCGCTTTGCTAAACATGTCAGGGTAAATAGATAAAAGCTCGGACAGACCGTTGACGCCTAGTCGCATTTGTTGTACTTAACTTAGTTTACTCATGAATTAGTAGTTGGCAGTTACTTCATTGACAAGCGCTGTATATTTTTCGAACAGGTACAATAGGTGTTTCGTTTCACCATCTTATTTCACTGATCCTATTAGCTTGATTCAGTTATAGTAAATGCAATCAAGATCAGACCTTACTACATGTTAAATTACTCTGCTATTCCGCTAATATTCGCTAACATGCAATACTCACAAATACCCGGCTATAGCAATTCTACTATAGCAATATAGTAGATATAATATAATATATAGGTTACTCTCCCATTACTCTGCTGAGTAATTGTTGCCTATTGAACTATTCCATTTGTCTTAATTGCCTAATAATGACTGTGACTTATCCTTGACTGGTAATTTGGATTTGTCCCGGGTGCGTTTGCAAATGATCATGTTCATTTCATATATCTGGTATGTTGTTCTCGTACAGGCAAATGATTGCTGACACCAATATGTCAACTGTGTTTGTCCTGCTTTGAACCATCCTGTTGCAACACTGCACCTATCTCATAAGTTTGTTCTAATATTAATGGGTCTCTTCGTTATTCGTACATATTAATTGGCCGATTCTTTTCTTCAACTGTTTTCAATGAGTCCAATGTCCTACTGCATGTACGCTTTGTGTTTCGAGTTTTACGTTCAGTATTGCCATCTAGAATTCCAATACGAAACGTGTCTGTCCTCGAATTTGAACCTAGATCACGACCGTCCCTAAGATTAACAGGCAAATACGATTTCAAAATTGCCACTATAAGTTAGAACAATTGATACTTAAACGTCACAAATTAATCCACCCCCCTACAACACCATTCTTGTGTCTCGCTCCTACCCTGTTTGCCCATATCGGTTCATCTGTCTGAAGGTTCCATATTAACATGAAGGCAAAACTACATCGCGAAGATATAAAAAAAACTTTTTTTCAATATTCTCGAGACTTCAAAAAGTCTCAAAAGTAAGCAATTTTCTAGTATAAAGCTTTAGGGTTGTTGAAGAACTCGCCAAAAAAGGTTTATCTAGATCAATGGCCATCTTGGTCTACAACAGAAAGAAACAACCTCTGAAATTAGCACTCAGGCAATCGAATAATCTCACACGCAGCCCACTCCAAGATGAATGTCTGGTGACGTATGAAAAATGTGCCCCAAGGCCATTTGATGTAGTGAAATTACGAACTTATCGTGCGGCCCACAAGACAAAGGACAATGTAACTATAGATGTGAGCAGATCATATTGTGATGTAGGTATACAGAGGGACTGGAATGCAACCCGTGGTCTCAGCTTTGTTTTGCCTGTTCTAGGACTGCTTGGTCTGCGAGATAACAGAAGCAAGTGGAAGCATGCGTGGCAAACGGATTGCTTTTATCGTTCTGTAAAGACAGATTGCTATACTGACAGTGAAATATCCAAGATTCTAATGAATGCATGTGGGTTTTATTAACGGATGATAATAAACGGCAATGCGCGTCGGCATCCTGGTAAAGGCTGAGACGCTGGCTAGGCTTGTACTATAAGTCAAGTGTTCAATTCTGGAAATTCTTTTACGGAATTACTTCAAAAATGTATTTCCACAGTGAACGAAAAGGGCACTAAGCGGAAGGAACACACAGGACTGCGCAACCACGAGGCCGAGTGTGCGCATTTCGTGGCTTCCACTATAATACAGAGTGTAGGTCGATGGATACTCAATTACATGGTCTAACCACTAACAGATCGAAGTCATGTTCTCTAGTTTAAGGTCAAGGAATAGCTTTATATTGTCATTAAGTTTTCCATCATCAAATCAATGATTATCACCAGTGCGCGGTTGTACACCACTGCAGTAGCCGATGGTAAATACCGTATTTTTCATGAGTTTTAGATCAAGAAATGTCCCTCTAGTCCTCTCAGTTCAAGTTCTCTACTTAGAAGTTATCCCCGCTTGATGTAACATACGTATGCCACCACTGTTTCCAGCCTTCAAAGCACTGTTCAAGATCGCTCGCCGGCACAGACCTCAGCTCAGTTAGTTATACTTATTTTTCTCAACGTGCCGAAACTCTTCCCCTTCAGACTGTTAATTTTGGAGAAAAGAAAGATTTAGTAAATGTAGATAACGGGGCAACACAAATATATCGAGTTTTTGCGAAAAATGCTTTGTAGTAGTGTACTCTGGGCCAATGCATTGTCGTGATAGACAATTCGGGACGCGGTTGGGCCGCAGTTTTCGATTTCTGTGTTGGACAGACTCCATGATCTCCTTAAAAGCGTGACCATGGAACGGGGCAGCATGAAGTCATGATAAACAACTCTTCGACGGTGGAAGAACGCCGTAAGAAACATTTTGGTTTTAGACTTGAATCTTGGCTTTGCTTTTGAATTAGTACTCGTAAGACTGCACTCCAGTCTATTCGTCGTAGCCTTCACGTCTAATTACTTGCAACATGTTCAAGAAAGCTTAGCACTCTTGTTAATGCGAAAAGGTCTTCCTTTCACGGTTCAAGGTTCACGGGCGTTCATCTGCTGCATATTCAGCTTCTTCGACTTTTAAACGATCAATCAAAACGGCCTGACAGAAATCACTTTCTTCTAGTTATAACTAGAATATGGTATAATTAATATATATATATTATAATATGCCCTTTATAATTATTATATGGTTGGCAAGCACGTAGCTTATCCATAACCGCTATCGCGGGCCTTCTAGGATAAGAATCGACAAACTTCTATCCCCTTCCGAAACAACCTGTTTACTGGAGTTTTATTTAGTATCTGGTTTTCATAGACAGTCTGCAACGTGTGCACAGATTTTATGGTTCACACAAGCTTACCTAATTCAAGCTTGCAAGATCCTGCAAAGATCGTAGAACGCTTAGTAGACTTACGCAATCTCACCGGGAAACTCAAAATTGTATCAGATTGTTATGAAATATCACCTGTATGAAACAGACGTCCCGCTCTTTCTATCAAAATAAAAGAGGATAACAAGCGATCATCCAACTCAAACAACGTATTCATGTCGGAAAAAACTTCATGTAAGTAAAACTTGTACGACCTAATAAGATATCGAGCGTTAACAGAGAAAAAATTCTTAGAAAACTGAGCTAATGGACGCCATTCTTGAAAGGAGCACGCTGACAAGTAAAAAAAAAACAGGATAGGACAGCAATAAACACATAGTGAACAGATTTAGAGCTATCATTGTTCGCGACAAAGACAAGTGCAGGCGAAAACAAAGTAATAGGAGAAGGGATTTTTCATGCTACAGTGAAGCTAAATATTCCGCAAGAATATCTAGGCAAACGGCTAACGCCGTAAACAATTGTTGTCCCGTGAAACAAACCTGCGATTCTCAGGAGACATTAAAGAAACCATTGAGCCTTAGCTCTCAACCTTGTTTTAATTTAAGCTAGCCTCGCTTGAAAAGCTAACGTTGTTTACACGGGCAATCATGGAACAAACAGCGAGATTATCAAAAGGCATAGAGCGGTCGTGCTAAAATGAATCCTTCAAACTGTGCAGTGGTTAATATATTTTTTTGTATCTAATGTTGTTCGGAATGTTAGCGCTCTCATAGCCTTTAGTACTCAAAATTTTTCAAACTCAATACGCCAAATTATTCGAAATGCTGACTCAGTAGAAGGGTTTAATCAGCCTTGTGGCTACCTCGACTATTTCTCCGATGAGCCAAAGAGCACTTTGCAACAAGAACGCGGTAGTAATTTGAGCGATTATAATGCTAGTATATAAAATCGCTTGATTTTTTAGTTCTCATTTACTATTTTACCTTGATTTTCAATGCTCACAGACCCCTGCAAAGCGCCGACAACTACAGCTTCAAGAATGAACGGGCGAACTGTCTGCTTCGTGCGTCATTCAGTCAGTCTTGATGCGACGGTTGTTATGTTTCAGCTTGAGATTTGACCAAAGATTAGACTAAACTAAGTTAACTACCTTAGATTATGTACAAAACGCTATATTGTCCCATCTTTGATAACTTAACTGTTTTTTTAAACATGTACTTTTGTATTTCAGCTCTTTCAACCAGTAATTATCTGTTCAAAGCAATGTATATCTAAGAACCTGAACAGTACCACTAGCCCCTTTTATTCGGAGTTTCCTCTCTCGATGGGAAAAAGAGTGCTTAGCAACGAAGGAACCGTGTTTGTGATGTCTAGAGCTGAAATATTCAATATTGAAACATATTAAAATATAATGAACATGTATAAACAAACGAGATGAAATTTAAGGGTTGCCAATATAAAATTTCGTGTGGGGTTATAAAATCAAACGAGATGATTCGACTAGATTTTATCCAAACCTTATTCGCCTCCCTGAAAATTACTCATTAGCTCAGATTAACAACGTTGGTGACCGTTTTTATTTACACCAACGACTACTTTCCACTAATTTTTTCTAAATTACACTTTTTTCGCTATTAAATTTCAAGAAAATACCCATAATTAACAATGTAAAGGTTGCCAAACCTAACGCAATACTTCAATGATCGATACGTTTTCAAATCCAAAGCTCCGTAGCGAATCTCAATACAATCCACTTTTATTTAGAGCCAATGACAAAGAATTGGTAGCTTACCTAAAAAAAGGATCTGCGGGCCGGCACAAGAGAGGGAACCTTGTAAACCTATGTCCTACTTGATCCTAGGTGATCCGCGATGCAATCAGCACAAAATACGGCTTTTCAGTCAAAAACCTCGGTGCTTGCAAAGGTTTCGTGAGGGATGCGTTGCACCAACGATCAAACTTATCCCTAGATGTTTCTATGGTAACTGATACTCCTGAGGAGAGAAAATGTCGCCCTTCAACCAACATCTGATATGATTTTTATTTCAAATTAATGTTAAATAACAAATAATATATATTTTTCTAATATTAAACCAAAAACTAAATGACAACCAATATAAAGATACGCTTTTGAGTTAATATGCTCACCGTGACTCGAATATCACCGGTTTTTCGAATTTTTTAAACTATTCGTACTAACTACGAAGTAACTAACTATTATACATGGATCATTTTTTGCTCAATTACGGGACAGAGTCCGAAGAGGTATATCGTTTCAAAGAAATGAACAACATCCTCAAAGTAAGTTGTTTTTCTTTTAAGAAATGACTTATTAATTTGAAAGAACCTGGCAATTACGCAGCATTTTATGCCCATTGTTTTTACGATATCAAGGATGCATCAAATCCCGATAGGTTTGGCTGCCTCATAATAGAACGTATAGATGAAAACTTCACACAAAAACTCCAGTCGTTTTACGATTTGTCCTTGGAAAAAACTGAGTGCGCGAAAACGATATATCTCAACCGAAGCTAGCACAGCTATGATCAAAAAGATCTAATGACTTACTTCAAAGCATCGAAAGTCAGTCACGGGGTGTGAAAAATCGAATCGAGCGCACTACACTACGTACGTTTTTTCAGAGGATACGACAACGTCATTCGAAGGAAGTCCCACTCTGGAACTCTGCTCAACTGTGATATAACGGGCCCTTCTACCAGATTTTAACGGATGAGGAACTGATTCCCGTTCTTAGATACGCCCATTCAGACGGCACTGTCCGGGCTATGCACAATCAGAACAACATTGCATATGATTCTTGTGCGATGAACAATGAAAGCATTTTTAAGGACATGTTTTATACACTAGCAAAACCAGCGTCTGAAGGAGACCAACTTTAAGGCTGGATATAGCACTCACCTTCATTTCAAAATTTCTAAAATACCAGCAAGATATCGTTGCCCTCCTCTATCGATTTACAGAATTGGCTTTCGCCTACCATCTTTCCGACTGGTCCTAGTGCGGTTATTTAGCAGGGAGTGGTTAAGGTAAGAGATCAATACGAGCTGTCTGAAAGAATCAAATCGAAGGAAGCATATGACTATTCACTGCGTTCTTTATAGCTCGGGATTTCCGCTGGGAGGAGATAAACTTACGTTAAGATTTAAGCCTAGACCATCCTGGTTTTTCTTCGATTAGTAGATAAATTCGTTGCTTTGCGCCGCCATGGACATATCAGTATCCCAATGTTTCGAGTTTCACGTCCGGTATCGTTGTTAACCACACATCTACACTTTTCCATTACCCTTCAGCTTTTTGTAACCACCTATAATAAGTTAAACCTTTTTTTCGTATTACGTTTTAACAAACAAAAATAGATTAAAACATAATGGTGATAATAATAATAATGGCAAAACAGTTTGAAAAAAGCCAGTGAGAAAGCATATAAAGGATTCCAATACTCAATCAATTTTTCTCGAAATGCGCGTTACCGGATAAATTCTAACAGGAGCTTCACTTCAACCCAGTGACTAATAGGAACGATGTATGCAAACAGTCAAACGATCATTCGAAAGATCAACTTACTTACAGCAGTACTAACCCACGTGCCGTCTTCGAAGGACGAGTTTAAAATTTTTTCCTATCTAATTTAATTTCCGGTTATCTTACCTGACACGTTTCACGAGATTAAAGAAACTCGATAGGAGAAAATCACGCTAATACATTCGAAGCGTTAACAATTGGCATAATGATACTCTAGGGTGTCGTAGCACCGCAAAGCGCCATAGCCTCTTTTGAGTAATAGGGGTATGGTACTCAGGAACTTGACGACGCCCTAGTGCGCTTCCTACATCTAACTGTAAGTCAATGACGAGTAAGATTTATTTTACTGCTATTTTATCAGGTTTCAATCCGACCGTGTGAATGCAGAAGTTGACGCTTTTAGAAGGGGACAAGTTGCTCAATAGGTATTTGATGGTGGTGCACTCGAACAATACATTCCGCTCCATGTCTATGCAGTAACGATAGCCAACTCGACTCGTCAGAGCAACAGGGCCAAAGTTAGCTAGGCAAAAAGAACAATTGGGAATAAAGGGACAAGTGAGCAAGAGAGCCGCATCCCTCTATGGCCTGCATCTTGCATAGAGAGTTTGCAAAGTACGATATTGGACCTAGTAGAAAAGCTAGAATTTTGCAACAAGCGTTGACAGTATTAAACTTGCTGCAGGCTTATGCGATGTAGTTACAAAACGATAGCAGAAGCATCTAATACTTGACCCTGTTTCTTGACACTGTAAGTTGCTATACATTGATATTGTAACGAGATATAGCATAGCCAACGTTGTTCTCAGGGCTGAATCGTCAGATTCAGCAGACACCATCGTACGATTTCGTGTTCGCCTGACTAAATAAGGCTTTTCCTACATTTCTCAGATCTAGTCTATATCATCATATGCAACGGTCAATCGACGTTGACAAAAAATCACATATAACGCAGTGAACGATGAATGCAGCAGACAAAAATACCCTACAAAATGAAGGGCTTTTAAACGACGGCATGGACTAGCAATAAGGACCAGTTCCCGTTTTTATTATAAAATGAACTGAAGCGCTGTCCTGACTATTCGATTGATGCATTTACATTTCTCACTCATTCCGTTGGGGTAAAAACTGTTTTGAGTAGTTACGTACCGGTACGTGGAAGTAAGATATTAGGGCGTTCAGTGTGAAATGCAAAAAAGAAGATCTAAAAATTACGCTATTTTATTCCTCCGCGAAATACGTTTAGTTTAAGACTATTCAGATATCATCACTCGAGATTTTAACAGGTGAATTGCAATGGGCTATAAAACATCAAGAAGATCCAAATGAGTTACGATTTTCAATTTTATAATTACAGCCAATAATTTGATGTCTGTTCAATGGTGGACGACTTCATCATGAGATCTGATTCGCTGACCACTGACAACACAGTTGTGTTGTCAGTAACTGATGGCGATAGGAAACTTCCCATTGACCAGTCACCAGTCATTATTCAGCAGAGACGAACGACTTATATGCGCGACTACGTTCGGCTTCATACTGCAAGAATCACTCTCGGTCATGTGCCATACTCGCCAAGCGTTGCTTTCACCAACCAGCATTTTTTTAGATCTCGACGACTCAATAAGAGAATTATTCAAACCTCAATATTACGTCGATATGATCTTTTGGAACTTCTTAGACTCCCGTATTCCAGTTCGTAGCAGTGGAATAAAATAAGTTACTAATAAAATGACAGCAAGTCATTTTATTAGTAACTTATTTATATTCATAAAGACAAGTAAACGGCCTATAAGTTAATGGTTTGAATTTACGCCCGGTATTACCGTAATTAGACAACATAATTATGCATTACATAATTCCAATAAAACTAAAAGAATTTCGTTTGCGAAAACTTCACTCTATTGGGTTTGTCCTGTTCTTTATTAATAACTGTACCACAATATTGATTCTAGTGGTAAGGCTAAAGGCAGTACCGGACGTAAAACTGAAACGTACATTTATGTAGTAAAGTCGAGATAAGAAAAGGTATCTGCGCAATATTAGTGCCAAAAATTAGATTTCGCTGGCTCGTTTAGAGAACTAAATTGCAACCGAGCTTATCAAAGTCCTGTTTCAGTTTTGCGGAGAGCGGACGTGGCCCACCTACGCTCCCGACAATTGGTGTAGTTGAAATGAACATAACAGCTTAATGATTCAGTCGAGATACAAAGCGCAGAGCTCGGTGGTTAGTCCTTATATTCCGTTAATTTGATAATTTTTTGCATCGTAGTGGTAGGCAGGCAGGCAGGCAGTCTGAGCCAAATGCTAGCTTTAACGCAAGGTGTGCTCAAACTTATCCGCAAATTGCTATTTTACTCTTACCACTACCACACAGAAGGATTAAAGACATTGTTCTTGGATAGTCGTTTTTTTGCTTTGTAGTAGTGCAACCTAAAGCCTTGTTGAAAACGGGTCCGTTTGAAAATGTGATGGGCTAGGTCACGTGCTTGGTCACGGGGAATAGTTTTCAATGCGGCGAACCAACTATAACGGCACTCGTGTCCTGATGGATGGATCAGCGCGTGAAAAGCAGGTTTGCCTGAGTCTTGCAACCTGCAGATCGACGAAGGCACAGTCAGTCGGAAAATCCCAGGCCTTGCCAGACCTGGGACGAGTATAGAGGGCTCTGTAGTAGAGAAGATCGAGAGAGGCTGAGAGTAATTTGCGATGTTTGATTATCAAAGTTTAGATCAAAACCCCGTTAGTAAGAAGGAGAGGCTGTCTCCGGGCTTTAAAAGCCAGTCACAGAAATGGCCAAATTAGCATTTAAACAGAAAGGACAAAAACGGCTCCTACCTGCGCAACAACTTGAACGGCTAGGTGAAAGAAATGGCGTGGGAAGGTAAGCAGGAGTTGCGAACTGGCTGCTAAGGTGACGTTGGAAAAACCAACAGAGCAACGTGTATGCTCGAGGGAAAAACAGGTCTGGATGTTTAAACTTCGTTTGATGCCATCAGGCGCCCCATGGACACCAAGCAGTTTTTGGGTTGAGATAAACCAATGCAGCTTGGACGAGAAGCACAAGTTTTTGCTAGATTAGAGGTGGCTTGAAGAAGCCTATAGAGTTATAAGATTGTCGGAGCTTAACTTACGTACCGATATATACTTATGGGATACTGCCAGCACCTACAAGGGGTGTAGGTGCTGACTGTTAACGAAGAAAATCAAAGAGACAATCTGGTCTAGACACCCACGGCCATTCAGTACAACGGGTCAAGGGGAATGTCGGTGAGACTCATAAGAAAACCTATAATCCATATCATACAGGAAGCAAGTAAAAATGGGACTATCATCTTTAAAATGGAAGTAGTTTCAGTCCGTTTGAGCCAACAAGCCTCACTAAGCAAGATTGAAAACCTTTTCAGCGAAATCTTCACCTCAATAGGCCGTCTACTCAAGTATACACCTGAAGACCCACCACCGAATAGAGGAAACTACGAGATTCTCAGGAAGACTGTTGATATTAAAGCTTTCAGGATGCAATTAATGATCATAGACAGCAACATTAAGAAGGCATCCAATACTACCTTGAAATCTATAATACTGAGAAACTGCGATAAAAATACATTCCTTGCGAGAGAATACATCCCTTGTCTACGAGAAACTTCAGTGAGTTGTGTGCGTTGTAACACAAGGTAAAGCATACAGGGATTAAGGTTTTACGGAACGATGACGTTAAGATCAATGTAAAAAGGCGTGTACAAGGGCACCCAAGGCTTTTGTAAACGATGCTGAAGGAAAATAGAGCGAAAATTGGTCGACGTTATCTGAAACCTTCTCGAAGAGACCTCTGCAAAGACGGGTTGGGCCATCGAAAACATCTACGATCTTTTGTAAAGCCTTCAACAAAGAATGTTCAACGCGAAACTACCACTTCTTTGCTATTCGAAGCATGTGCAATGGATAAAAACTTTGAAGACAACGGCATTTGTAAGGGCTCGTTGCATAAACTCTCGTTTGGGATTGCTTCTGCCTGGTTCAGCTTAGTACAAGTTCAAGCCCGATATGAACAGCATGGACTGAGCGCAACACTCCTTCACAGGGGAGGTTGCCGTAACAAGTGTTACTTTTCGCAAGAGAATATTTTTCAAAAGGGCCACAAAAAACTGTGTGCGTTCATCCGGAAAGCGCAATTTCTGCTATGGCGCGAAGTTAAATATCACAACTAATGTCCTTGGTCAACACGCTAATGGCTAATCCCGCCAACGATTCGACTGTAAGTGCGCTGGTATATCACATAGTCAAATGCAAGCGTTGCAAAGGCCATGAAGGGGTTAACCCGTTTTGAAGGAAAACGTCAGCCTATATCCAGTACCAATACTGGTTTTTCTCATATTCAGTTGGTTTTACTGGATTGGTGGTATATTTAATTTAGTGATATAGAAACTTATACCCTAAATTTCTATACCACTAAATTAAATAGGATCAAGTGGTAAGTATCTGCTACACGAAATGGAATCAGACACGGACCTAAAAATTGATAAAAACCAAACCAGATATCAGACGTCTCTAGATGTCTACGGCAATATATTCTTTGAACAAATTAAACTGCTATCCTATAATCCCTACCTAAATTCCCCTATCCCCCTACTTGCCCTTCCAAGATACGCCTTGTTTTCTGTGAAAATATATGTTACCTTTCAAAAAATATGTAATCAGAGAAAGGTGGAGAACGATTACACTGATGAAGTGAAAAAAAACAAAAACTGAGAAGTTAAGCTTAGGATGCAAAATTTAACA